TGTCCACACATACCTGGCAAAGGTACATACGGGGGTATTGCTGTACTCAGCCGACATAGCTGAGCAACATATGAAGTATTATACAGTCGTAGCACACATAAGGTTTGCAAAATATACTGTGCAAACTCACTTTGTATGTCAAAAAGGCAGAAAAAAACGCTTATTACCACTACATCTGGTACAAGCTAGCGGAAAAATGATCCCACACTAAGGTTCAAACTATACCTTTTGAAACACCCTGGGGTGTCTACTTTAAGAAATGGTAGGCCTTTGTGGGGTAGTTTGAATTTAAAACCTGCGAAGATGCTTGGAAATTGCACATAGGCACAGCGTCAAAATTCAAAGTTTGGTAAAAACGGATATGGCTTGGTCTCCTATATGGCACTGTAGCTTCACAAAATAGTGACAAAGACATTCATTGGGGGTGTATTTTTACTCAAAAGACTTAGCTGAGCATAATTTGGGAGGTTTGAACTTAGTGGCACATATGAAATATACAAAACGCCCAGCAAAAATGCAATCCGTATGTAAAAAATGCACAAAATTATTTTTTACCACATAATTTGGCATATATTGGTGAAAAAATGGGGGTATGTTAAGGCACAATATGCACCTTATGAGATACCCTGGAGTGTCTACTTTTACAAATGGTAGGCCTTTGTGGGGTTTTTTTGAACAGTCAAACTGTTATAATACCCCAAATGTAAGCTAAGGCTCATTAAATTCATCTCTCAAAATTCTACTGTGAATACTGTAAAGGACAGGTCTTCTATATGGGACTGTAGCTTCACGAAATAGTGACAAAGACATTCATATGGGGTGTCATTTTACTCAGAAGACTTAGCTGAGCATAATTTGGGGGGTTTGAACTTAGTGGCACATATGAAATATACAAAACGCCCAGCAAAAATGCAATCCGTATGTAAAAAATGCACAAAATTATTTTTTACCACATACTTTGGCATATATTGGTGAAAAAATGGGGGCATGTTAAGGCACAATATGCACCTTATAAGATACCCTGGAGTGTCTACTTTTACAAATGGTAGGCCTTTGTGGGTTTTTTTTGAACAGTCAAACTGTTATAATACCCCAAATGGAAGCTAAGGCTCATTAAATCCATCTCTCAAAATTCTACTGTGAATACTGTAAAGGACAGGTCTCCTATATGGGACTGTAGCTTCACGAAATAGTGCCAAAGACATTCATATGGGGTGTCATTTTACTCAGAAGACTTAGCTGAGCATAATTTGGGGGGTTTGAACTTAGTGGCACATATGAAATATACAAAACGCCCAGCAAAAATGCAATCCGTATGTAAAAAATGCACAAAATTATTTTTTACCACATACTTTGGCATATATTGGTGAAAAAATGGGGGCATGTTAAGGCACAATATGCACCTTATAAGATACCCTGGAGTGTCTACTTTTACAAATGGTAGGCCTTTGTGGGGGATTTTTTGAACAGTCAAACTGTTATAATACCCCAAATGGAAGCTAAGGCTCATTAAATTCATCTCTCAAAATTCTACTGTGAATACTGAAAAGGACAGGTATCCTGTATGGCACTGTAACTTCACGAAATAGTGCAAAAGACATACAATGGGGGTGTCATTTTACTCAGCAGATGTAACTGAACACAAAATAAAACTTTGTACAGGAATAGCACACACCAACTTTACAAAATATACACGAGAATTTCTCTGTTATAAGTTTGTGTGCCAAAAACCAAAAAGAACACAATTTTACTCCAATATTTAGCAGAGGTTGGCGGTGAAATGGCTATGTAGAAAGTGTCAAAACAACCTTAGGTAAATAGCCCGTGATGTCTACTTTATATAAATATATACTTTTGTGTGGCAATTTTGTTTTCTTTTATGGCTATTAAGCTTACAAGACAAACATACCAAATTCTAAAATCGCTCCACATTAAAAGTTTATTTTACTCCTTGTGCTTTGTGACCTGTAACTACCAAAAAAAACTTAAAATCCCAGACACATTATATATTCTGTAAATCAGAACAAATAAATAAATTTATTTTTAATTACTTTCCTTAACCTGCACTAATTATGCACACATTATTATTGCAAAAACTGTAAAAAAAAACAATATTTTTCATTTTTTTTGCATTTTTCTGTATTTTTTTTATAATAAGTAAGCATATATATATATATATATGTTATATCAAATTAAAGCCCTTTCTGTCCTTTAAAAAACAGTATATAATATGTGTCGGTGCAATAAATGAGAGAGATGCAAATTGCAGTTGAACGCAAACAGCAAGAAAATGCAAAAATTGCTTGTGTCATTAAGCGTAAGTCAAGCTTCTGAAGCTGTGTCCTTAAGGGGTTAATAAACCTCACAATCTCAGCATTCACAAAGTTATTTTTGTTATTAAATTATTCTACAAAATATCAATACACAAACATTGGATATAGATAAAAGGTTTGTGCCTGACTACTCAGTTATTCTTGTTGGTGTCTCCTAAAACTGAAATAAAGTTGTCAACAGTGTATTAAAAGAACACTATAGCATCAGGAACACAAATGTGTATTCCTGACCCTATCGTGTTAAACTATTTAGCCCCTCCCCCCCCATTTAGCAAAAACATACCTTATTTCTAGAGCTGCACAAGTCCGCCAGCGCTGGATCCGCCCAATTGGCTAATGTAATCTAAACTGATGATCTCAGTCAATCACAATGCTTTCCCATAGGAAACCATCAGATTGGCTGAGATCTTCAATTTTGATGTCAGCCAAGGAGTCAAGTCAGGGGCGGCTGCCATGGTTAATTTTCTTAGTCATAAAAAACAAAACCTTTCTTACCTGAGAGAGATGAAATGAGAGGGTCCTCACAATTTGGTGTCTAGTGTCCATGCAGCCCTGAGCAGCTTGAAAAGGAGACGGCTCACTTGTCCACAGTCTCAAGACAGCTGCTTTCACCCTTTACAGGCTTCTTCATGCAAAATTTAAAAAAATATATTTTTGAAAAAAAGACACGACTTAAGCAGTTTAAAAAAAAAAGTTCTCTAAAAACAAATAAAAATTTAATAAATATATATAAAATTATATTCTTTTTTCTTAACTCCAATTAATACTTTGGTTTAACCTTCTGATTGGGGCACCAATGATAGGCAAAGAACATCATCTGAGAGCTCAGCCTAGAAGTAGTTCCCCATTCACAAAAACAGAGTGAGAAAAATATGAATGGCATGTTTCCCACTCTGTTTTGTGATTGGCTAAGCCAGCCAGCGGCTTCCTGATTCAACCATTAAACTACATTGGAAGCAGTGAGGAAAAAAAGGTTTCTTACCTGAAAGAGATGAAATGAGAGGGACCTCACGATTTGGTGTCCACTGTCCAGTGACCATGCAGCCCTGAGCAGCTTGAAAAGGAGACAGAGACGGCACAGTCTCAAGACAGCTGCCTTTGCCTTTTACAGGCTTTTTCCTGCAAAATAATATAAAATGTTTTTTTGTTTGTTTGTGTTTTTTTTTTTTAATACGATAATTCTTTAGTAATACTATACTGTAATTGTAACATATTACATATTATCATATTATTATTATTATTAATATTGTATATGATATACTGTCCTTACCTTTTTCTCTCTTCTCCTCTGCTCTCTTTCCTTCACCAGCAGCTATTCTTTCTTTTTCTTCTCTTCTTCTTCTTGGTACCGCAGGGGGAGGGGTTACGTCGTCGCATTGTGACATCATCGCTAATCGGCATTGAGGATTGTCCGATTAGCAGGTTAGTGGCAGGAGGAGGGGAGGGGACTTACTCCACCACGGAACCCATGTGAGAGGGTTCCATCTTGTTGGTGCCGCAGCAATGCGGATGCGGCTGCCGGCCGGGCGTGAAAGAATTTTAATAATCATTTATATTTTTTTTTTACAGCAGCGGTTCTCTAATTACATGGTTTAGGCAGCCGCGAAGCCCCTTTTAGCGCAAGGCCTTAGGCGGACGCCTAAACCGCCTAATTAGAGAGCCACCTCTGAATGACATTACATGTAGTGAGTAATGAGAAAAAGAGGCAGAATAATGCACTGGAAGTTCAATGACATTTGGATATTGTTCCAGATTAACACCAGGGAGAGAAGATGACAAAGTAAAGAAGCCCCTACATGTATAAACAATAGCTTGAAAAGGAGTAAATACAAGGGGAAAAAAAATTAACAAAGCGAAAAAATTATCAGAAGTCTTAAATTAACCTCTTCACTGGCAAAAAAAAATGTTTTAATTCTTTATTTTTGCTGTGCACAATAATACAAGCATTCTCGCAATGCCCCAATAGCCGTAGTAAGATTAGCTAAATACATAAATTAACAGTGTGTGGCATACGGTAGTACTGCACAATTCTTTTTTTAAAGTAACATTAAAACACAGGTTGGGTCAGGCTTGTCTAGCTTGTAATCAGGATAGAGGCTAAGCTTAGTCTGGCTCAAGATTACTGTTAAGCATGAGACAAAGGCCTAGGTTGTAAATGTGGTATGTTAGCTACACAGCAATTGTAAGATTAAAGAAACATGCTTTAACAATTAAACAGCGGAGTGTTCCCCCGTGGACCATCAATACATAAAATAGCCTTTAATACTATAGCAAACAGGGAGTGAGAAGGCAAAGTTAGATTAAGCCTCAATTTATCAAAGGGATTCCAACTGAGAGGTCAGCAATCTGGCATGGAAATGGACACTGTGGAGACACTTGAACTGAGCCTAGCATGCTAATGAGAGTCTCAGTCCCACTTTATCCAATACCCCTCTTGGTGGGGGTCCAAGACAAGCGTCAGTGAAACCGCCTTCAGGCATGCCAGCTTGGTCGACTTGAATTCTCTTCCCCAGCTTGATAAAGGATCCAAGTCCCACAGATTAGTTCCTCACCAGCCCCAGACACTTGTACAGTCCTGTACAACAATCTCATTTATCCTATTGTCGGCTGCGATCAGAACTTGGGCTTGAAATACACATTCAAGCAGCTGACTGTTAAAGTGTGTACCGGCTTTCCATGTATGTGCGCAGTGCCCATCAGATGTTCCCTGGTCGAACTGGCATCTGGGAAGGTAACCATCAATCACAGAACCAGGCTTTCTGCGTGTGTATGCCCTTCCAAGTACCTTCCTCCATTTTCGTGCCATCGCCGTTGTACCGAGGCTTTTCATGACTGGCCGCGGTTGTTTGCGGTTTCCCAAAAGATCTGGCTGATCCCCATTCGTCTCTGTCTGCCTCACCATCTGATAAATGAGCGTTTTGCAAAGTTGTGTCCAAAGGCGTTCAAATGCCTCGATAATACGTTCCCCGCATGAGGCCAACATTGTGGTAGAATGCTAAGCTGCAGGCTTCTTAGCAGCAGCCATTTTTGGGTGCTTGAGACAGGTTGTCCATTATGCAGGGTCTAACAGCTGTTATCTGGTCAGCTCTCCCATGGGGACCGGGATAACCCCCACCGGTTTGGGGGGGAAACAGGGCAATGAGGAGGCCTCAGCCAGGTGTGTTCACAAGGTTGGGAGATCGGCCACTTCCCCCAGTTGCCGGGCACGCTAGGCCACAGATCCATGTCAGGTTAATAGCCTATCCAACCAAGATGAATGTGGTCGGTAAAGGTGAGGTAGTTATACTGTCGGTCTGCTTCTGGAACAAGGTGAGTTCTGCCTCATTTAGCAGACTCTTAGTCACAGTTTAGTTTTTAGAGAGCCAGAGCGCTAAGAAAGTGCATCTGGCCATCTTGAAAGTCAGGCCCAACCCCCACTGGCAAACATTTTTATTTATTTTTATTTTGAGTTTTTATCTTTGTTGTGGAGTTATACATTCACAGATTCGGATAAAATAGCAGGATGAGACAAAAGCAAATTTGTTAATATATGGTAAGCAGTGGTGTATCATTGTTTTGTGCTGCCCTAGGCATAACAAAACTCAGGCACCCCCCCTTCCAAATTTCTCTTCCTAACAGACACACGCCCTCACTGATGCATGGACTGATATACATTCACTTACATATACATTGTCACACACACTGTTTAACCAACACACACTTTCACTGAAGCATACACACTCACTCATTCACAGTTACTCACTCACAATTACATACACATTCACTGACAGACAGGCATTCACCGACAGACACATATACTCACTGACAGAAATGCATACACACTCACTCAGTGTCAGACACACACACAGGGACACACATATACTCACCAAAAGATACATACTGACAAACACACATATATAACACTCCCTGACAGAGATATATATATATATATATATATATATATATATATATATATATATATATATATATATATATATATATATATATATATATATATATATATATATATGTAGAAAGGCCATTAGGCCTGAATTTGTGGGAGGAGTAAGTCCCCTACTTAAGCTCCCAGCCCCTACTCACCGCTGCCGCTCAGCTGATTGTCCTTAGCAACCAGCACTTCCGGTCCAGCTTCCCGCCAGAACTGTACCTGTTTCCAGCAGCCAGACGCCCTGTGCAATCCTCCGTCCGTCCGAGGTCCTTCCACTCCGTTTCCCTCCGGTCGAGGTACCCGACTTCCGGTCACGAGACCGGCGCGTTCACGTAAGCAAGGCGTGGGAATTAGCGTTCGCTATTTCCCCGCCGTTCGGGCCTAAAAACGTAGGGGTAGGCTCCCTCTTTCGCATTTTCACGAATACACGCTTTCGTTAATATCTCCATTCGCGCCAAAAAAATGCACGAACGTTCGGCTCATTTCGCTATCATTTTATGCTTTTTCGTACGGAAACAACCGAATAAATATTTCATATTTAAGCTCATTATTATCTGTATTCACTTTTCCGTTCGGTTATTTCAGCACCAACCTATTCGTATGGTCAAATTCACGTACACCATCTTACTAATTTACATTCGGTTATTTCTATTCTTTTAAGCTAAGCTTGCATAAGTTCTAATCACAGTCCTACTATTATTTATTCCTTCATATGAGTTTGCGGTTACATTATATGGTTAACTACCAGCCCTGTGTTTTTCTACCTTGTTAAACCATTTAAAGTATTTTTCTGTAATAAACATAATGTTCACCACGATTCATAACTTCATACGTGTCTAAATTCAAGCTATACCATTCTTTCCTAATAACACTCAGATAAGTCTTTTTAAACACTATTTACAAGTTATACCCTTTACACATAATCCGTACTATTCCTTGCACATAAATCACGCTGTCACATCTTTTGGCTTTTACAGATTGCATCGGTCTCTTGCTTTTCTGCATTAAAAGTTGTTATTTCAAGGTCCTTTTATTACAGGAACAGGTATGGTTCTTTATCACCTTGAGTTATCAGGTTTTATCAATTATCTCCACATCTATTGCTAACTATGGAATTTGTCTTGGTTAAACCCTTAGATCCTTGTATTAATCTAAGCTTCCACCGTTTCTACGCAGTTAACCTGCCACGATTAAACAATCTCTGTACTTTAAACAAAGGTATAGTTCACTCTCTTTTCAATACTAGACCTCACGCGGTCTCAACTCCATTACTACCTTCCCTCAGGCTTACGCCCAGGATACGTTATCTCTTTACTACTTGTCTACACAGACTTTCGGTCATACGGCCACCAGGCTCAAGAAGACACCAAAAACCTGACACGGTACTCAGCCATACCTTCAGGTACTTACATCCTTACTCAAGTACGTCCATTCGCTACCCCAAGGCCTCATTCTGCCTTCTCACTCATATCCAAAATCATCCCATTCCTACACCTAAACCTCCCAGATCCCTCAATGCAGGATCTCACGTCGTGCCCCTAACAAACCTTCTCCCTATACTATTCATACGACATCACGATACGTATAAACACATCAACATCTGTCTTAAACCCCCAGGATTCTTCCTCAAAGACAACATTTAAGACAAGACTCTCTACACTTACCAGGAGGCTCCAGATACCATTTGCGACCAGTCAAGGTTAGTATCCACACACCATTCCAGTCCTCTAACTTTATCCTTTAGCATACTATCGAACTGGCTATACGGCACAGGCTAATGCCTTAGCCCACCCTATCAGGAAATCTGATCCCGCGAGGCCTACCACCCCCACCCCACCTCAACACGGAGGTACGGCCCCACGCCCAAATCATAGTTATAAGCCTCGCATGCCTTACTACAGGGCTCTAGTTAGGGCCTCACCTGTCACGGCCACACGTTTTGATTTCTCTTATCGCCACCGAGAGGCCAACATCCCGCCACCACGTCTGTGGCACCTACGTCATAAGCCAAATCATAGGTAGAGCCTCTCATCGCCACTTGGCATTAGCAGGGCCTCACCTATCCAGTCATTCAATAGTTAAGTTTTTCGCCTCGGCATCTAGCATTAAAGTCCAGTTCTTCAAGACACACCACTCCCCATACCCCCCCTTCTTACCTCACTCCCCTTCTAATATATCTTTCACATAATCATTCCTTTTTAGAATGTCCCAAGAACCAATTCCAACCGAAGAACTGACAGAAGAAGCACCATTCACGCCAATCAGACCCGTGTCTCCAGGCGAATCACTCACTCTTTCAACCCCCACGCCCTTGAGAGCATGGACTATTCCCAAAATCACAGCCGAGCTTAGGCTCAGGGGAATCCCCTTTCCGGCCACAGCTAGAAAGGCAGAACTTTACAGGCTGCTTACCCACCAAGTCCGGGAACTAGCTCTCAAGGACAACCACCAAGTAACAGCACGGCCACCCAGGATACCCTGGCAGATATCTTGGCCAATCTACAGGCCCTCAATAGCAGGCTGTCTAAGGTGGAGAGCGCCATCTCCTCCTCAGGTACTCCTCCTCAGGTACTAACACCGTAGTCCCAGTCTCTACCACGGCTGTACCTGCCATACCTTCATGTCCCTCTATACTCCCCCCTCCAGCACCTGGCACAGCCATCACACCTTTCGAGTAACCAGCACACTCCGTCCCAGATTCTATCAGGAAAGATATCCTTGACGGGAAGGATGTGTGTCTGGTGTCTTTACTCATAGCCTCTCAGGATGTACTCGAGAACAAGGCATACAATTATGGTGACATCTCTGTTGTGCTTAAAACGAGGGATCCCAGGCTTAATAAAAAATTGTCTATCCCACAGTTTGTGATAGCTTTCGGGATATACCGCGACGTCATTTGCACGGTGTATCCCCATAGGAGAGAAGAGCTAGATCTCTATCTCCACAAGGTAGTGGATCTAGGCATCAAGTACGGGGGCTCTTCCTTCTATGACTACCACAAGTCAGTCTCAGCGAAGGCGGCGACCCATCTCAAGCAGTTCAACATTAGAATGAACTGGGGTCAGATGGACACTGAACTTTTCTGTCGCCACTTCGCCGGACTCAGGCCCCCGGCTTGTGCCATCTGTAATTCCACATCCCACATGGCGGACTTATGTCCCGTCGAACCAGATCCCACCACCTCCACTCTCACCCCTCACCCCACGTTCACACCTCACTCCTCTTTCACCCCTCACAAGCCAGCGGGTGGTCTCCGGGATAAGCTGGGTAGGCCCATCTCCTTTTTAGGTAAAGCACAGGTGTGCAATAATTTCAACGCAGGCTCCTGCAGTTTCAGCGCCTGTAGATTATTGCACATCTGCTCCATATGTTTCAGGGCACATACCAAGACCATGTGTCCAGCCAGGTTGTCACCAAACAAATGACTAACCGACATAAATATCGACAACCTGGTTTTTTATCTAAGGTGTCACCCCAGCAGGCACTTAGTGGATTTTCTCACCACAGGTTTCTCACAAGGGTTTCACACAGGCATAATAGCCATTCCCCCAGGTACACTAGAATGTCCTAATCTCCAGTCTGCACGTTTAGACCCAGTCGCTGTAGACACTCTCATTTCCGCAGAAACCACAAACGGTTTCATGATCGGTCCTTTCACCTCTTCACCGTTTTCCTCCTGGCGCACTAACCCTATTGGTATTGCTATTCACAAATATTCTAATAAAAAACGTCTCATTATCGATTTATCGGCACCGCACTCCTCTTTTGTTCCAAGCATAAACGCACTCATTCCAGCAGACGAATTCTCTCTGCAGTACGTCACCATCGACGACGCCATACAGTCCATCATGACATCTGGTAATCGACCCTGGCTCAGCAAAACAGACATCACTAACGCCTTTAAATTACTGCCCATACACCCCTCACTCTGGCACTTACACGGTGTTAAATGGCGAGGGTATTATTACTTCTCAACACGACTCACTTTTGGTTCCCGAAGCAGCCCCAAACTTTTCGACATTTTCGCAGAGTCACTATGCTGGCTGCTTCTGAAC